CTCTAATTTTCAAAAACTGCTTTTTTTATTTCGTAAAAAAGGTTCTTTTCATAAGGATAAAAAACTAAGGGGGTGTGTTTTGTATTTTTGGTTGTTGTTTTTTCTTTGTTTTGGTTTATGCTTTTGTTTAGGGCCAACATGAAAAAATACTGGCCCATCTTGCCCTCCTAGTAATTTTGATCTAGAACCACCACTGCTATTGCCCCAATTACAGCAGAACCAAACCAGCTCCGAAGCATGATGCTGCCACTGCTATGCTTAACTGTCAGTGTGGTGTATTGTTTGTTTAAAGCCGGTGTCAGTTTCCAAAAAAACTGCTTTCTGAACTCATGGACAGAATGTTGAACTTTGATCTCATCTGATAACAACAAATTTTTCCACACACTAGTTAGAGACTTTAAATATGTGTATTTATTATAAAAGTCTTCAGTCTTGTATTCCTGCTCTGTAGAGAAAATATGTGAAGAATAGGGGAAATGACTGTGAAACGGGAAACAGGTTTAAGTTTTTTATCATAAAAATCTGATGGACTCCAAGCTGTGGCATATATGGAAGAATGGGGGGATGAAAGGCGGTTTAAAAGAGGACTATAAAAAAAGGTATGTTGAAAGTTTTTCACAAGGTAGGGGACACAGCAAACACAAGGAACGAAAGGCTCTGCAGTGAATACTCAATGCAAACACTTCCAATCATTCTAAAAAAAAAAGAAACAACTTCTCTTGAACAAAGGGCCATGTTTTGGGAAGCATTTTCTTTGGAAACTTGGAATTATATAGAGCTAATTAAAGGGCTATGCTGAAGGCAAACCTGTTAGACACTACAAGCATTCACCTTCCAAAGGGTCAGTGGCCTCCCAAACATATGGTCAGAGCCCAGGTTCAGGGATGTAGAGTAAAACAGTATAAGTCCAAATGCCAGTCAATTTGCTAATGTGTGAATGTGTCCCTGCAGAAGGACAATGTAGACTGCAACAAAAAAAGAGGGGGGGGTATCTATTCCATAAATAGAAATAATTAATATATCCCAAGAAAAGCTACTTAAAACAAACAACAAAGCATCTGTACATGCAGACACAATTTCTTGATTTAAGATTTTTAAACACGGAAATAAGCTTGCTAAACACTTAAAATTAGAACTTATCTATCACTTCTAAATATATTTATTTTTATCTTGGTAAGAACCGAATAGTTTGCAGTGTAGTTCCTCATGTTTCTCCTCAAAACCTGATAGGTAGCATCACTATCACCGTAAGCCCACTACTTTAATTACATTTCAGTGCTGATTTATCAACAGTAGAGATTAATGTTATTCTATCTCTGCAGCTCCTTGCCTCAATTCAAAAAATCTGCTTACAGTGCCAATAAAAAAAAAAAGAACTCTAAGTGACTTTGGGTTTATTTATTTCCCTTTCTGAAATATTCATTTAATTATGACTGGTATTTAAGAGCACTGTTTTTCTTTAATTCCCGCCACACAGATAGATTGCTAATTGTTGTAGGGTTCAGTGAAATCATCCCACTGTACATCCCATCTTGTTATGCATTCTTACGTACCTAAGTGGTCAAGGTTGAATTACCAGTTTGCTCTTGAACGACACTGCATACAGATCAACTTACAGGATGACCTTGTTATTGTGAGTGACAGAGGAGTGCTACTGAAAACAGAGATGTTAATCAAGATAAGCGTTGCTCTCCTTAATCACTTATGCATGTGTGGAGAATGACAGAAGCAATCCTCTTTCCTTCTGGGGATTCTTAATTCCTAAAAGTTGGTCACAGGGTGCATAGAAGCCGATGCAGTGCTGAATCCAGCCACCAGGTGTCACTGGTAAGCAGTTTTACAGAAATATTTTCAACACTGGCTCCTCTGAGCTAAAAGTAGCTGATGAAGGTCAAAACAAAGAGAAGGAAAAGTGTTTAGGCAGGAGTTAGAGAGTAAAATCATCCCAGCTGTGTGTATTTATAAGAACCAATAGAGTGCCAGATTAAACACGTCCAAAGCAGGCTAAACATTGTGTAAAAGGTGGAACAGATTGGTTCATTTAACAAAAAGGAGCAACCACTGCTGACATTGGCTGTGTAAAACTGGGTATCTGTATTTTAAGGAACACACGTGGGAAAACATATACAGTAACCGGCAATGTGAGGCGGTAGCTTATTAGACAAATCTCAATGTTTGTTTTTTAACAATTGTAGCAAAATATTCACATAAGGACAACGCTGCCGTTTGAAGTATCAGTTAGACGGAGATTGAAACACAGAAGACTGAGAAAAAAAACACTATGAAAACATATTTTAGATAGAAATCTGTAAGATATGGAAATAATGTAAAAATATGAGGGTAAAAGAAAACACATTTTCAATCTAAAAAATAAAGTTATTTTTAACACCACATTGTGTAACTTCTGGAAAGTATTAGCTTAATCTGAGCTGTATTCAACAACACTGAAAAAAAAATGCATTCGCTTTTGGCATTTACTTAATCATATTTAGGTACTTTAACACAATTGTTTTTTGTCCTACCATGCTAACATGAAACAGTTGTTTAAACTAACTAAATATGATTAAGTAAATGCCAAAAGCGTTTGCATTTAAAAAAAGGTGAACTTTAAAGGTCAACTCTGCTGGTTGTGAAACAACAGAAAAATGTGATAAGGCACAGCTCTTACTGCTGCTCTGATTGGATAAAAACCTGACCTGGGAGATTGGTACCCAAGCAACTCTTGTATTGTCATGAATGATGCTCTCTTTTGCAAACACTTTAACCAAAACAGGAGGCTTTTCCGATGGATACATGTAGTTCAATTTTTTCATGTTTTTTCAAAACCAAACCTATAAAATAGAATATTGATGATGTTTTATAGACATTTCTAGTTCACATAATTCCTGAATGCAATGTGGTACAGTCAACTAAACTTTTGAAGCAGCAAAAAAAAATCTGAAACGAAAAAAGAACATTGGAGCTTTTTTCCAGTTAAATTTTTTTTTCCACTTAAAGTTTTATTTTATTTTTTACCAAAAAAAAAAAAAAAAAGTGTTTATGGCCATAAATCAGCTCCAGTCTGCTACCTGCCGGAGTGCAGTGCTGCCAATTGCTTTCAGGGGCGATAAACCTAGAGCCCCTAGTGACTAAAAGTTACTGTCTTGCTTTAATCTACATTTAAAGCTGAATAATTATCACGTACAAGAATCTTATTAAGGCCAGCAGAAGTAATAAAAAAACAAGGCTTTTGCCCCAGAGAAACCAAGATAAGTTTAACTTGATTAATTAATAGTTTCTGGTTTAGTTTCATCCTCTCCTTAGGAACATGACGGCCTCATCATTCTGGAGGCATTTAAGCCAAGTACCTTACATTACATCTATAAAATGAGTTTATTACCAAGAAGTCGGTCCATTCATTTATTATGAGTGTTGCTAAATTATCTTGTTGGTCAAAATTCCACAAAGGAGCTAAAATTATTCATCCCCTCCCTTAGCAGGTTGTAGAGAAATCACAACACATGGCTTTTAAAGCTATGAACTTGATACACTGCTGGTCTTCAGGCATTGACTCAACTTTTAAGTGAATTCCAGAGATTTTCTTGCTAAAGCTTGAGGTCAGGGTCATTCCAGAAGCTCCATGCTAGCCTGTTTTATCTTTGATGAAGTGTGATGGGTTTTTTGTGTGTTTGGTGTGTGTATATATATATATATATATATATATATATATATATATATATATATATATACACTCACCGGCCACTTTATTAGGTACACCTGTCAAACTGCTCGTTAACACTTAATTTCTAAGCAGCCAATCACATGGCGGCAACTCAGTGCATTTAGGCATGTAGACATGGTCAAGACAATCTCCTGCAGTTCAAACCGAGCATCAGTATGGGGAAGAAAGGTGATTTGAGTGACTTTGAACGTGGCATGATTGTTGGTGCCAGAAGGGCTGGTCTGAGTATTTCAGAAACTGCTGATCTACTGGGATTTTCACGCACAACCATCTCTAGGGTTTACAGAGAATGGTCAGAAAAAGAAAAAACATCCAGTGAGCGGCAGTTCTGTGGGCGGAAATGCCTTGTTGATGCCAGAGGTCAGAGGAGAATGGCCAGACTGGTTCGAGCTGATAGAAGGGCAACTGTGACTCAAATAACCACCCGTTACAACCAAGGTGGGCAGAAGAGCATCTATGAACGCACAGTACGTCGAACTTTGAGGCAGATGGGCTACAGGAGCAGAAGACCACACCGGGTGCCACTCCTTTCAGCTAAGAACAGGAAACTGAGGCTACAATTTGCACAAGCTCATCGAAATTGGACAATAGAAGATTGGAAAAACGTTGCCTGGTCTGATGAGTCTCGATTTCTGCTGCGACATTCGGATGGTAGGGTCAGAATTTGGCGTCTACAACATGAAAGCATGGATCCATCCTGCCTTGTATCAACGGTTCAGGCTGGTGGTGGTGGTGTCATGGTGTGGGGAATATTTTCTTGGCACTCTTTGGGCCCCTTGGTACCAATTGAGCATCGTTGCAACGCCACAGCCTACCTGAGTATTGTTGCTGACCATGTCCATCCCTTTATGACCACAATGTACCCAACTTCTGATGGCTACTTTCAGCAGGATAATGCGCCATGTCATAAAGCTGGAATCATCTCAGACTGGTTTCTTGAACATGACAATGAGTTCACTGTACTCAAATGGCCTCCACAGTCACCAGATCTCAATCCAATAGAGCATCTTTGGGATGTGGTGGAACGGGATTTGCATCATTGATGTGCAGCCGACAAATCTGCGGCAACTGTGTGATGCCATCATGTCAATATGGACCAAACTCCCTGAGGAATGCTTCCAGCACCTTGTTGAATCTATGCCACGAAGAATTGAGGCAGTTCTGAAGGCAAAAGGGGGTCCAACCCGTTACTAGAATGGGGTACCTAATAAAGTGGCCGGTGAGTGTATATTTATATGTATATTTTTTTTCTGTTGGAAAATGGACATTTGTCTGAGGTAGTCTGAAGAATGGGCCATGCTCCTTTTTTATTTTTACATTATGTTTTTCACACAACGTAGCATTGCAGCAAAAGCAGGCCCTAAGCATGCTGCAAAGGTCGGTCCTCTGGCATGGCCCCTGATCCTGAATTCTGCAGAGTTCCTGGAGCTGTGCTAAAAGTTTGGTTCTGTGCCAGAAAATAATTAAGACCAGAGCTGTGATCAAATATCCAGCCTGCTAATGGCCGCTCTGCAACACACTAAGAAAAAACTTTTCAATAATAACTCACGGTTGATGCATAAATATAAGCCTGTATGACAACATCTATAATGAATCTCAGGTCTGTTTTTCGAATTCTTTTTGAAAATCTAATATTTAGATAGCATTGCATTCATGCTGATGATTATGTAAACCTCTGACTGGAACTCCTAACTTTAAGATGACTCCTATAGGGCTCAAAGAGGAAACAAATCCCCTCTCTTCCATCTGACAAATTCCCCTGTGTTTCAGGGCGCAGCCAAAGTCCAAAAATGGTCTTATTGTTTTGTGGCTGCATGATTTATAAAATCCTGTGGTTTCTCTGATGAACTGTCAGTGACTTCATTTGTGCATTTCCTCCTAAAGAATAGCGGTTTGGACTTTGTCCTTCCCCTGCATTTTTCCCCAAGACAATTGGCACTCAGTGTTGCATTTCTGGGAACTGCTTTGTGGTCAAAATGAAACTGAGCAACAAAAAAATAAATGACCAGAGGAAAGAAAATGATAAAACAAATAAAAGAGAATGTAATGAAAGCTAAAAGACTTGTTGTGGCGTGAGTGGACAGCGCAGATAAATAAAAAGGACCCACAACTTTAATCTTTCCATTTTTGTCCTTTCTCTAACACAAGTGAAAGTTAAGAGTGTGTGCAGCTGCAAACAAGAAGGTATCAAAGTTTATAGCAAGGCACAGAGATATAGAATCACCCAGCAGTGGCTTTTTCTCCCCCCCGCAAAAGAAAATACATGTCAGTCAGAAAATAAAAACATTTTTTTCCTTAAAGCTGTGAGACATTTTTGTCCTCTTTGCTGGACTGATCCAGTCCATTTGTATCAGTTTCACACTCTGTCCACGGCTCGCTGTGGTCGAGTCCAACATAAACTCTGAAATCATACGGTCAGAGCCGTTCTAGTACAGCAGCATCCCGCTGAAGATGGTTAAAGGTTCAGAGGAGTAGGCCAGCTTTCCGGTGACGAGGTCAATGCAGACGGTGTCCCCGGCCTCTAAAGGCAGGATGATGTTGAACACCGCCAGAGCTCCGGGGATTTGTTTGGCCTCTGCCATGGGCTTCTCCAGGCCTTCAGGCTGATATCCTGCTGAATCCACTCGGGCAACGCCGACGTTTGACTTGGAAAGCACCGCCTCAATCTTCATGTTCTTATGACCCGTTAGGATGCCGCTGAAAAAGTATTTGCCACGCAGAGGGGCCGTAAATATACCTGTAGAGCAGAACAGTGATTAGTAAAGCTTTTATGTTACATATTAGAGGAGTGTTTTGTCTTTATTTCAGAAGTTTACAGTGATGTAAAAAGTATTTGACCCTTAAAACATTTCTGTTTTTTATCCCGATAAAATGCTTAAAATGATTAAACAAACTCCCCTGTAGAGTTTGGTTTAGAAATAGTTAAACCTGACCGACTATAGAACAATAACCTCCCCCCCAATAACACACTAGCTTTTATTAATCAAGTTATAAATTAAAGAATTTGAGTTAAAAAAATAATGATATAAATAAAATTATATAAACACGTTTATTTTGATCCAATCTGAATAGTTAGAGTTGCATGTTTATATGACATTTTTGTTAGTCTGATCAGACGTTCACGACAATTACTCATGTCCATGCAAACTAAGCTATTAAAAGTGACACTTATTAGCCTGGAAAGGGTGAGAAATCCTTTTCTATGGTTTTAGTTTCGTGAGCCACAGTGAGAGCTGTTCTTCATCAATAAAGAAAACATGGATGAGTGTTGGGTGAGTAAATCTATTAACAGAAAGAACACTGAGCTACTTCTAAAGCTCTACAGGTCTAATTATTTCTTAGGTAGGGTTGATGTTAGTTGGGGAGGGTTGGCCTAGTGGTTAGAGCAGTGCGCTTGTGCTCTGAGAAGGTTGCAAGAATCCCGTTTGATCCCCACAGCCTCAACTCTGGGTCCCTGAAAAACAGCCTTAACCCCACACTGCTCCCCGCAGCCCACTGCTCCCAAAAGAGATAGATTAAATGCAGAGGTAAATTTCTCCAGTGTGAGATTAATAAAGTTCAATTATTATTATAAATTATTATTTTTATAATTCAATAGCTAAGATACACTATATTGCCAAAAGTATTTGCTCACCCATCCAAATTATTGGAATCAGGTGTTCCAATCACTTCCATGGCCACAGGTGTATAAATTCAAGCACCTAGGCATGCAGACTGTTTTTACAAACATTTGTGAAAGAATGGGTCGCTCTCAGGAGCTCAGTGAATTCCAGCGTGGAACTGTGATAGGATGCCACCTGTGCAACAAATCCAGTCGTGAAATTTCCTCGCTCCTAAATATTCCACAGTCAACTGTCAGCTGTATTATAAGAAAATGGAAGTGTTTGGGAACGACAGCAACTCAGCCACGAAGTGGTAGGCCACGTAAACTGACGGAGCGGGGTCAGCGGATGCTGACGCGCATAGTGCGAAGAGGTCGCCAACTTTCTGCAGAGTCAATCACTACAGACCTCCAAACTTCATGTGGCCTTCAGATTAGCTCAAGAACAGTGCGCAGAGAGCTTCATGGAATGGGTTTCCATGGTCGAGCAGCTGCATCCAAGCCATACATCACCAAGTGCAATGCAAAGCGTCGGATGCGGTGGTGTAAAGCACGCCGCCACTGGACTCTAGAGCAGTGGAGACGCGTTCTCTGGAGTGACGAATCGCGCTTCTCCATCTGGCAATCTGATGGACGGGTCTGGGTTTGGCGGTTGCCAGGAGAACGGTACTTGTCTGACTGCATTGTGCCAAGTGTAAAGTTTGGTGGAGGGGGGATTATGGTGTGAGGTTGTTTTTCAGGAGCTGGGCTTGGCCCCTTAGTTCCAGTGAAAGGAACTCTGAATGCTTCAGCATACCAAGACATTTTGGACAATTCCATGCTCCCAACTTTGTGGGAACAGTTTGGAGCTGGCCCCTTCCTCTTCCAACATGACTGTGCACCAGTGCACAAAGCAAGGTCCATAAAGACATGGATGACAGAGTCTGGTGTGGATGAACTTGACTGGCCTGCACAGAGTCCTGACCTCAACCCGATAGAACACCTTTGGGATGAATTAGAGCGGAGACTGAGAGCCAGGCCTTCTCGTCCAACATCAGTGTGCGACCTCACAAATGCGCTTCTGGAAGAATGGTCAAAAATTCCCATAAACACACTCCTAAACCTTGTGGACAGCCTTCCCAGAAGAGTTGAAGCTGTTCTAGCTGCAAAGGGTGGACCGACGTCATATTGAACCCTATGGATTAGGAACGGGATGTCACTTAAGCTCATATGTGAGTCAAGGCAGGTGAGCAAATACTTTTGGCAATATAGTGTATAAGGGAAAGGGTGGCTTCTGGACCCATCTGACATTTTCCTGAAAACATCCTACTTGTCCTCCATACTTTTAATAAAACGTTCTTTAGACTTCTTTAGAATTTAGCTATTTTTCTTCTTTCATGTGGTGTAAAATTAACAGCTTTAATAAAAAAAAAACTTTTTACTTACATTTTATAAAACAAACATGAGTGGGACTAAATAACAACACAGAGGACCATGTCTGTATAAAAACCTAAGCCAATCATTTTTAACTTTAACTTTTTTTTCATAATATTTAGCTTTTCCCTTCATCATAAAGGTGAATTTTATCAACCTAAAACAAAACCATAAAAGCATATCCTCTAAAACTGACATTAGAACAAAAACCATGAGCTGCATTACCAATGCTGGACGGAATATATTCAAACATTTTTCTCTTCATTTCTGGCCCTCCATATAGGTACCTATTTTTACTATTGAACATAACTGTCTGACAAAAGACAAGATATAACATAAACTGAAGAACCAATAGAAAATCTTGAAGCATTAACCACACCTGTTTTCGGATCATAGGCATCATTTTCATTGACAAAGACTTGGTTAAACTCTATAGTTCCTGTTTTCCTCATATGACGAGTCAGTGCAGCGGAGAAAGAAAGGCGTGGCACATGGGCATCAGACCCTTGAAGACCTGATGACAAGGCAGAGACACGGAGTGGAGCTTAGTAAGAATTACAGATCAAAGTGTAATGAAGTTCTTTCATCTGTTGGTCGCTAAGTGTGACACATACCCTGTTCTCCTCTGAGCCCTGGAAGAAAGATAAAAGATATGAAGAGTGAGTCAAACATTGCAACACTTCTGTTCATTGGTGATTTATCATAAAAAGTCTGGTACAAATGTTCCTACTGCTTAACTTTTACACATGAAGTCACATTTTATCCATAACTTCAACATATTTCATTGAGATTTGAAAGCTCATTCTTACTCCCAACTCGTCACATTTTAGTCAAGTCAGTATCTGAAGTGACGGAGTTCATAACAGGCTGTAGCAGGAACTTCCATAAATGTTTCCATGACTTGTGAAGTAAAAAACACACCACTAATCCATCCCTTACCCCTAAACCTAAAGAAACAGTATAGAAGTTACCGTATACTTCTAAAACTACCAAAGTAACTTTATAGGCTAAACTTCTATGTATTTTTTTGTTGCGGGTCAGGTGACACACTCTCCGCAACCTGTAATTTACCCTGCCCGTCAAATACTGACGCGAGGGGTACCCCACTATTGACCCAGCTTCAATGTCTGGCGAGTTGGGAGTGAGAAAATGTTGGATTTGATGTGTTTGTATAACTGTATAATTACAGTTATTTTAAATTCAGTCCCCTTAAGTCAATGCTTTCTAGACTATAGAGTGTTACATACACCTGTAGTTTTTTCAAGGTATGTCTTAACATGACTTAAAGGATCTCCATGGCTTCCTTCTTCCCACTCTTTCATATCAGCAGATTTCTGTCATTGCATTCCTCCACCTGAGCTCTGCAGCTCCTCCACGGGCCTGTCGGTTGCTTTTCTGATTTAGTCGTTGTGAGGATGTTTTTTTCCTTGCTCCAAACCTCCACATCTTCCTCCCTGACCTGTCTGCTGTGGAAGTTTGCCTTCAGTGGAAGTGTTAGCCTAGTGGGTAGAGCAGTGTGCTTGTGCACTGAGAGAGCTTCAAGTCTGCAGTCTGGCTTAACCCCACGCTGCTCACCGGGTGCCGCACAATGGCAGCCCACTGCTCCCCAAAGCGATGGTTTAAATGCAAAGGTAAATTTATCCAATGTGAGATCAATAAAGTTAAATTATTGTGGAGTGGTGGCCTAGTGAATAGGGCACTGCGCTTGGAATCCAGAGGTTCTAAGTTCGAGCCCCACTTCCACAGACTGACACTCTGGGTCCCTGAGCAAGACCCTTAACCACACACTGCTCCCTGGGCGCAGAGGATGGGTTAATGCAGAGAGTTAATTTTGTTGTTCTGTAGTTGTGATAGTGTAATATCAATAACACTATCACTTGGGGGAAAAAAAGGTTTATCATCTACCGTTACAAACCTTACTGTACAAACTTAACAAACCTCTGAGGAGTTCACTGCTGGATAAACACAGATAGGAAATCAATCACAACCATTTGTTGCACTAGGTTTTATCTATTTGCATCCAATTCGGGGGTGAAATGAAATATATGAAATTATCTGTTGATTTTTTAATCTCACAAATCCAAATAAAAACTTTGAATTTGGATATAAAATGTGACAGTGTTGAAGAGACACATTGTACAAGCATAACATGAGCCTTTAGGGCAGTTTTCTGTACCTGGTGGTCCAACTGGTCCCTGTCTGCCTTCTTTGCCTGGAGGTCCCACCCTTCCTTGGGGTCCAACAGGACCCTGTGGTCCAGGATAGCCTCTCTCTCCTCGGGGGCCTGGTGGACCTGAAGGAATGCAGCATTTAGAGAAACAGGCTCAGAAACACCCACATACATTCCTGTAAAGCAGTGATAATGGCTCTGAGGAGCTTCCAACAACTAGCACATTAAGTCAAGAGAGGCAAGACATTTAACCCGGCGAGACTTCAGATGTGTCTTTCACACGTGTTTATAAGAAGCAATCCCTCAGACAGACAACAGACTTTATAGGCTTTTAAGTCAGTTCTTTTAAACACAGCAGCCTGGATTTATTCTTTTGGCCTATTTTAACCTTAACCTAACATGCCCTCCATCACATTAGTGCATCCTCTTGGCCAACATTGCAATCCCATGCTCTCTTTTCCTTGAACTTACCCCTGAAGTCCTGTTCCCTGAAAACAGTGAATTGTTTGCCCAAGTCCAGCACTGAGGAGTTCAGCCTATGTATCCTGGAGTGGACACGTTCCAGCTGGATGTTCTGGATATTGTCAATGAGCTCTCCTTGGTACGTCACGGTGTCATTGAGCCCGTTAACACAGCCCCACAGGCCGGACACATGTCTGTTCAGGCCATCTTTGATTTTCTCCAGGCTGTCAGTGAAGGAGTCCAAGCGGCCGCAGACGCCCTCCAGCTTGGAGAGCCTTTGGTCCAGGCCTTCACTCGACCGCCGGCACTCCCCCACCTCCGTCACATAGTTGCTTCGGATGATCTGGAGCTCCCTGCCCAGATTGTCAAACTGAATCTTTGAGTCTTCGTTGTGCTCAGTCAGCTCTTCCTGTACATCTTTCACCTTCAAGAGAAAAACATTTGTTTTTCATCTAACTTTTTAGATCTTTGCCAAATGTAATTTTCCCGCTGTGTCACATGCTCAATCTAACAACATCTCTGTTTCTATACCAGGTTTACTAATAAAATCATAAGAAGCTTCCCAGATAGCCATAATGGATGTCTGACTGAGCCAGTGTTTTCACAGTAAGCAAAGAAAATTAATGGCTTCTGTCAGACAGATAAATTAAAACAATAAGCATATAGATCGGTCATATAGAAAATATTTTAAATGCAAATAAAGCAGCTATAGAAAACTAAGTTGTGAGAAACTGACTAAGACATTTACCTTTAAATTAGCTTCTTTTTTAAATTCAACTTTCTGCTTACCTTGAAATGGGGTTCATTTATTATTTATTATTAGAGACCAGAGGAAATAGATTAGATAGTTAGATAGTTTAATACAAGCAACATACTGATGCTGTTTTCCATGCTAAAGGAGCACCAACCACATGATGCAAGGCATGGATTTGGCCAAAACTGTTGCCTCGTATTGGTAATATGAAAAGTTTTTACCTTCTGTTTAGTTAAGATTAATAAAATGATTTAGATTATGCTTTTCCAGAATGTGCCTTGTGCATTCTCGTGTGCTCGTGCATTAAATCGGTAAATGGGCCTTACAGTGAGGCTTAAAAGAATTATTTTTTCACCTCAAATGATCTTAAAATATACTTTCATTGAACAACAGCAACAGAAAAGAGAACTTTTAACTTAATCCTCTGAGCTCTGTGAGCATTAACCTGGAAGCTGCTGCTGCCGCAGTGCATGCTGGGACAGCTGTCAATCTCAAGAATGGACAAGTCTGCTCTGATGCATGCTGGGACAGCTGTCAATCTCAAGAATGGACAAGTCTGCTCTGATGCATGCTGGGACAGCTGTCAATCTCAAGAATGGACAAGTCTGCTCTGATGCATGCTGGGTAAAGAAGGAGAACATCCAGGGACTTTGTCCATTTTCATTCTGCTGTTCTTGTGATTTGGAACAGTACTAGGGCTAAAGTCTGATGATGTTTCATGAGTACACGAGCACATGAGAACGCACATGTACACATATTGAGAAATGGCCGAGTCTAGGCCTCACCCTAACCTGTTTCTTTATCCCCTGTGCTCCGCCTCCATAAGGCACATTTTTCAAACATTGGATTTGAGCTGAAGTAAGGCTCTAGAATGGGATGGTTGTCCTTGTAAATGTAAACTCTCAATCTTAGGCCATCCATGCATATGAGATATGAAAACATTAAGAATATGCTTGAAAATTCCCTTTTTGTTCATATTTCAATCCGTTTTATCATCAATGTGCCAGAGGGGAGTAATTCTCGGCATAACACCGGCCTCTTTATAGTGGCATCCATGTCAGCACATCACGTTTGATGTGATATTTTCACAGGATGACTACACAGGTTGGAAGACAGATTTGTTCTCGCCCCCAGATATACATCCGTGCTAAAATATCAAGGTGAAAGTCATCATTAGTATAGACCCAGCTCCCAACCCGGCCGTGAGAATAGATTAACGGATTTTTTTTTTATCGATAAGAGTCTGGCCTTAACGCTGATATCGGCCCACCACTAATTCATAGTTTAGAATGTTGTTATATAAAGAATTTGGTTAAAAAGGGATAGTGCCACATGTGCTTACCAAAGACATGGTGACATCATTGGTGTGGGATAGGTCTATCAGAGTGGTACCGTGCGTCCTCACAGTCCGACCCAGGTCCTTCAGAGTGTTATTAATGGAGTTAAAGGTCACCATGACATTGGCCAGCTCTCCTCGGATGGAAGTCAGATCACCTCCTAATTGATCACCGCGGGAAGTATGACCATCCAAGTGTTTCTTCAGGTCATTTATGCCATTTTTACACTGTCCTGTGCATTCCTCCACTTCCTCTCTTAGTCGCCCCACCTCTTCCTGAAGGTTGGAGCAAACCTGAGAGCAGGTGGATTCCCCAGAGTCAACTTTCCTCCTCAGGTCCGTCAGCTCCCTCTGGCAGTTGTCAAGGCCGACTTTTGTGGAGCTGTTGAGCAAGCGCAGATCCTCCTCAATGTCGCGGCAAACAAGACAGTCCTTAAAACCTCTGCTCAGAGTGTCGATCTCTGTGACGACGCGGTTGAAGTTTTCACCATTTTGTCCGGTCACAGCTATTATCTTATTGACATCATCATGTAGGTCAAACACCTTGTTGATCAGGGAGTCTCCTGTCACAGACAACTCGTTCAGGGTGTTGTTAAACCTCTTGATGTGTTCCTGATTGGTCACGACTCTCCACTCTAAGGTTTTTACAGTCTCGTCAGTCGTGGGGCCTTTGCCTTTGTGCCCACAGGTCTCGTTGCACATCTTTGCAGTTGAGGTTAACTTTCTGTCAAGAAAGACTGTGGAGTTCTCCAGCTTGTCTAAACGCTGGTTGTGTTTTTCATCTGTATGTTCAAGATTCAACACTCTCCGTTCTAACTGCTGGATTTTAACAGTTTGGTCTTCTAGCTGGGTAAGGACCGTGTTACGCAGCTGGGTGAAATCTCTTTGGATGCTTTCTTTAAGGTTGCTCCCAGTGTTAGTACACCTCTGCTCCGTCTTCCTCAATGTGTTATTTAACCTCTTTTCCAGCTCTCTCAGCCTGCTGTTAAACCGATCCTCAGAGACTCCTCCCCCCCTTCCACCGATCCCAGCCAGCTCCTTATCCAGCCGCGCTTTAATGCTGTCACACTTGTCTGAGGTAGAGGTAAGTCGAGTGTCAAAGTTGAACAGCTGCCTCTCCAGCTCTGTAATGGTGTTGCAGCAGGTCTGGGAGCGCTCGCTTTCTCTGCGGGAGATCTCCAAGTTCTGCCTGACGTTCTGCTCCATGGAGCTGATCAGCTTCTCCAATGCTCGGATCCTTTCTCTGTCCTCTGCCTGCTGCCGTCTCAGGTCCTCCACTCCGGCCTAGGAGAAAACCACATAATTTTTAGGACACACACTGCTGGTTTGCGGAATCAGGTTTCTCATGGAGGGAAAAGTGCTATTTACCACAGCAATAATTTTGATGTGACAAAGCAGAACATTGTAATCTATGGAGAATATAAAACACTTATTATGTGCAGGATTATGTTGCACTTTCTTTAGAGGTTTTGGACCCTGGTCCCCTGAAGAAGAAAAGGAAGGAACTGGGCTACTGAAAATGTTTTTTTAATGATGTAGTCTTTACTCTTATGAGATATATTTATCTTCTATATATTGCCTTTTTTATGCTATTTTATCCCAGACCACTAGATGTCAACAGTATTCTCACCTTTATAATGTTATCCCTTTTTTCTTGTGTGTCAATAGTTATATTTACACACAGAATATTGAGCACCTCAGCATGACCTACCTGATTTAAAAAAAAACTTCAGCCTCTTGTAAAATCCAACTGAATCACCAACATTTTTTACACAAAAGCAAGCAGTCATACTACCATTGGTGTTTCTGTTTCAAATGTAAATATAAAAAAATCAAAGAAATCTTAATCTTGTTATAAAGTTTTGTTTCTATTACATAAAATATTACATTAAATATTACTCTTTTAACGTTTCTTTCTTTTTTTTTTCTATAATAGTTTTTTTTTCACCATTTATATTTTACTGCTTTATCACCAACTAAAGGCTGGTTTATACTCAGAAACCAGGTCGTCTGCGTGCGTGACGCAGTGAATGCAGATATGCCCCTTCTGCAGACACTCTGGTACACCTTGCCATATTTGTAGCTGACTGCGCAGACAGTGCTGCAGACATTAGGCCTCTGATTGCTCAATTCTACATCCGCTCTACACTATGCATATTTCCTCTTTGGTACCATGTTTGTATAAATCAGCCTTAAGGATTATTACCTGACAGGATGAGCAGGACAGAGAGACCCTTCGCTCCAGCTCCGTCAGGATTTCCTCCTTCAGCGTGTTCAGCTGGTTCCCTCCACCTCTCCCAGCATTCCCATCCAATTCATTCCCTCCTCCGTTCACCAGGTGGTTGTTGATGTTCACCAGGGTCTCATCATGGACCTAAATCACAGAATCAGAGATTGTGGCTTATGTTCTTATGAAATACTTCATTAAAGAGAAAAAAATTGAATAAACTCAGCCTTCAGTTTAAAAGGTGTCATTGTAAACAAAAAATGGCAAACTGCTTATGTTGCTAATGCTACATCCATATGAACAAACAAGTCATATTCTCATTCATACACTCACGAGAAAAGAATGGGGTATGAAAAGTAGTCTGAATCAGTTCCATTAGTTTTTTTCTCCTAGAAATTATTAAGTATGGAATTAAAGAGAATTTCACCGGATTTTAAAGGGATTCATAGGAAAAATCAATCAGTTTAATCAAAGATACATAGCATAGGGGCTTATAAACCACCCTGTGTAGATGCCCTTTGTAGTTTTGATCATCTGTTGGAGATCACGCTTCAAATTCAACCTTAAAAAACTGATTTTTTTCCTGTAGGAGGAGTCCATTAGTGCAGTTTTATTGAAAACACATATGCATAAAATACTCTTCACATAAATTTTGAACATACAGTCCCCAGTATATCTCTCGCATCAGTGCATGCTCCTTCTCTGCACTCATGGTTTGTTTTTTTATGCACCTTTAGATTCTCTCCAGCTAACGTGTGGACCTGTTTCTGTGCACTCATCAGTGCTTCCAAGTCCTCAGCAAGAAAAGTCGCTAATGGCTGTCCTAAAAGGCACCATATGATGTCATCCCCTTAATTTGCATATTTCATGTCATCCAGCTGCATCAGGAGAATCATTCCCATTGCTTTTTTTCTTTGCCTTTCTGTCAAAACAGTGTAGAGAAATATTGGGACAGCTGGAAGAAAAACGTGGGGGACTTTAAAAGTAATAGCTTTTATAGAAACAAGTAAGGAAAATACATAGAATTCAGCTATTTAGTTTCACACTCCATACCAGCTGGTGGTGCTAATGAACCATTAGTTGTTTAACACAGCCCCCCAAAAAAAAAAACTAGTAGAAGAATATGTAGAAGAAGAAAGCAGTGTAGAGGCACACGGAGGCTGTGTCTGAACGTCTGACCTAATCCCTATATAGGCGACTATATAGTGGTTACGCCTTTTTAGTCCAAACGTCTAGTGGATGAAAAAGTAGTGGAATCAAAATTTCCCACAATGCACCTGATCATGGTCACTCGACAAGCATATATATCACAGATTGCTTTGCAAGAGCTCTTCTCGCAAACCATCATGGGATTTGTTTGTAAGGCTGCAACTAACGATTATTTTAAAAATCGATGAATCGGATGATTATTTTTTCGATTAATCGATGAATCGGACAAAAAATATTTTTTATATTAACCTCTTTATTCCAAAATAAACATTTTAGACAGAACAAACAAGCACACAAGTACAGGTTGCTCATTAACTGTACTGGTGCTATATGAAAAATAAATGTTTGTGTTAAAACTACGCAAACGTACATGAGAAATGTAGCTGTACATCCTTTTAAGACAGGAAAGTATAGCAGTTAAAGTTACTACTTGAGAAAATACTGAACCATAGAGATAAAAATAGCCCTGTGATTCAAATTATAAATTGTATTTGGAATAAAAATGAGAGAACTAGGGGTGCTAAAAAACACATCCTCCAAAGACTCCAATTTACATGGGAATGTGGCAAATATAATTAATTGACATATTACTGATCTTGCTGGATTTTATTCTGCTTTACTTCCATAAATTGCAGGATCTTCTTTACTTTATCTTTGCCAGAAGATTTAAACTTTACAAGCCTTGCCCTTATAATTTGCAAGTTAATTTATTTATAAAGTAAATGTAAACGCTGCTTAAGCCAATTCAAATGAAATTAAAAGTAAAATTAGTAGCCAACCTTATCACTGTCTGTAACCTACTAACAAGGTAAGGAAAGCATCAGATGAGCTACCTGAGAAACTAACGTTACGTTTCCCCACTTTAAAACCAAACAAACATGGTGGTTCCGTGCCATGTTAATTTCTTTTGAAAAAAGTTGCATGTTATCACTTTTTTCGCTTTACAAAGCGCAGGCTATTTTAATTATTGTGATCAATTTGCGCCGTCAATCCCGGCGCATGCGCGCTTCATTTGCAGTCTGGACGCTCAGGCTCTGACTGCAGCGCTGAGAGGGACTCCTGCGGGAGTGGGGGGAGGCGCCCCACCGCAGAGTAGGAACGATACATGCTTTCACGTAAGAGTCTCCAAAAGCCGCCAGTGACACCGAAAAAAAGTCGCCAGATTTGTCGCTAGTCGCTTTTTTGAAAAATAGTCGCTGGAGGGGTCTGAAAAGTCGCTGAGTTGGCAACACTGCACCTGCAGCGCTGACTCGCTCTGCCATATTTTTTTTTCTTCCTCTTTCAGTCAAGAGGCAGTGATGACGGCGCGGCGGATGACGCAATAATCGCGCGACACAACTAATCGATGATGAAATTCGTTGCCAACGCTTTTAAAAGTCGATTTTTATCGATTTTATTGATTCGTTGTTGCAGCCCTATTTGTTTGTATAGGTGACTAATAACAAAGGTGGAGTTACGTGACCAACGGGGAATAAAAAGTAGTGATCATCTGTCCGAATGATCAGTTAACTAAGTTCACTATAAAGTCTGCTATATAGTCCCTGCTCTATATGGAGATTGAGGGGTTAGGGCTGACATTTTGACACAGCCAGACATAGGAGGAGCAGAAAGGGAAATGAAAAAGCACCGGTTTGTTTTTACAAAAATACTAAAAGTGGGGCTGCGCATTATCGAAAGGAAATCCACACATTATTTGAATCAAACTAGAACTTTCCTTAAATTTACAAAACCAAATTAGACTGTCAATAGAAGCTCTGTTGCCAGAGGGAGACAGTTCTCCTCTGATCTAACCTCAGCCTTTTCCTAATTTCACTCTCATAAAAGCTTACCATGACGGAGGGAACAACAACATTCCACAACCTGGAAGCTTCTCCAAGAGTGATGAAAACACAAGACACTAAGTGGTCCATCATGCTGCCAAGAAGTGGACTGCTGTACTGAAGGAGCTGTACAGATTTTCTGACCAATACTGACTTGGATCCACATGGAAAACAATCTCCAATATTGTCCTTATGATCGGTCCAAGGAGAAGGGTTGAAAGACAGAGAGGCCTTCTCTTTAAAAGAACACATTCAGAGCTTAAAGACTCTAAATCCTTGTGGGAAAATGTGTTACTGTGAGAAAAAATCAAAGTAGAATTTCAGAAGTCATTTCCCAGATGGTACAGTAAGTTTAGCCTCAGCAACAGACCCTCAGTGAAACACAGAGGTTGAAGTAATATATTGAAATAGTTAATTTTTTTGTCAATATTGGGGAAACTATAGGCTATAATGCTTTCTTATCATCATATATCAAATCAGTATTTTAAAGCCTTTAATTTTTCCATGGAAATGTAAAGATGGAGAGATATTTTATCTATCAGAGACAGCCAGAAACCAGGAAATAATCCAGTGTCAGGGATTACCTGTGTTCTGTTGTAGAGCTGGTCCAGCTTCGTTTGGATGCTGCTGATGGTTTCTTTCATGAACGGCTGAGCTGAATCCGCAGGGACCGTGGCCCCATTCAGGCTGGGACTATAAACCAGAACATGCAGAGGATTACAGGCTTAAACAAAGATCTGGAGTAAACCATTAAAGCAGAGCATTTCTTTCTAAACATGTTAATAGCTCGGGGAAATACCCTGTGGACAAATAGGAAGAAACTTGTTCTGCAGTTTATTTACATGCTATCACATCATCTTGTTCAGTATGAAAAGTTTATCTCATCCTGTCGGTGTGATAGAAGAAAGAAGGATATCAACTCTCCAAAACTGACCAACAGTCGTAAATATTGACACACAGTAAATTATACACAGTGTGTCCCAGATGTTTGGTTTAAGAGGAGCAGAAAAGCAGAAAAACATTAATGCTAGCCAGTTTGGGATAAACAGCGTGCAGGTGATGGAGGACGGATGGACGACATCACGTACAGCTTTTTGTTTATGCCATCAATGGTGGTCTTCATGTCATGGAGTTCTTTTTTAAGGCCAGTGATTGTATCTTGCAGATCCCGGATTGTCTCACTCTCACCTTAAAAAAATGAAAAGCAATAAATAACAATTTTTGTTAATGGAGAACAAAGTCATGTTTTTTTACTAATATAATACAAACAAAACTGTTGTTTTTCTACCTTCTTCACTCTTCTTTCCACCCCCGGTCTGTGTGGTTTGAGTCTGCCCTCCATTGACCCGGGTGTCAAGGGTCCCCTGAGGACCCTGGTGGCAGTCTTCCCCAGAGTAACCGTGGCAACACTTCCACTCCATTTCTGTCACCATCTTGTAAGCTACCTTATACCTCGGCCTCCTGTATGTTCGATAGCTGGAAGGTCAAACAGAAAGGACACATTATTTACCAAAAGGATTATTGTTGTCAGCTGTACTGAATTGGAGAAAAGATTCAGTTCTTGTAGCTCTACAGAGAAGACAGGAAACTATGGTGGAGGTTTATATTCCCTCAGAGAAGTCTCCAAATTTATTAGATTTTAATGAAAGTTTAAATAACAAACTAACAGAGAGAAGAGAAGTGGGAAAAGGGATTTATTGTGCCTCTATAATCAGTGCTTCTATTTTATGGAACCAGCAGGACTTTCGCTTGGATTTATCTATTTATCTATTCTAATTTATTTATGAATCTTTAGACCTCTTTAGACCACAGTGACTTTTAATGATGCTGGCTAAAAATGATAATATATGTTTTAATTATAGAATTAATAACTGAATGTAGCATTTCTTTAGCTTTTAAAACTGCAAAGAAATCCCGCTTCATACTGACAGTAATAGCAAGAGTAATATCTATTATTTTCTGTTGAATTTTAGTGTTATTATGTTAAAACATATGTGCTATTTTCTTTATATCCAATTCAACATATTAATTAAGATATACAATTAATCTGTTTTGCAGATATTTTATTTTAATGTTCTACAATAGAGGTTCTTTAAGAAGAACAATAACAGGATTTCCAATCACATTTTTTTTTTTTTATGGAGAAGGACTTGTTTCTTTTTTTGAAAAACTGGACAAGAGGTTTAAATTCTAAAGACTGTAGGGAAAAAAGCTGACCAGCTTCGCTATCTCTGCCAAAGCAAAGCACCACAGCATGACGGTGCCATTACTATGTTTCATATCAGGGAGGGCATGCAGGCCGATGTGGAACCTTAAGTTTCCCACGCTCAAAGTAATCTGCATGAAGGCCAAAATACTTATAAAAGGAAAACTTATATTACTTGATTTTATTTAGGGATTCAAGTTTAAAGAGTGAGCTTTGCTCTTGCCTGATTCCTTTAGAAACGTGTATTTGGAGTGTGTATGGAGGTTTTGTCAGATTATGTTTAAGTAATAATTCAACTACATAAACATGAATGCTTTTGGTTTAATTGTGTGGGAACATCCTGTTAATGGTATAATCTCACAAGAGTCCCTGATTTTTCGCACAAAGCAGATCATGACACAGACACCACCCGGTACAGTCATCCTGGTTTCCCAGTCAGTGACCTTTAACTCTTCCTGCACGCCCAGATTTTCTTTCTCACTGATGACATAAATATCCAGAGGAAACGACTGCCTATCAGCAGTATTATCAGAGTTCTCTTAGCCTTAAATGTTATTCCTACCTCCTTTATTTCTCAGCTAGCTTTCATAGAATCCATTGCATATCTCTGACTCTAAAGCTGAATAACTTGTTCAAAAATAGCCTCCACAAATATGTAAAGTTGTTTGATTTGGAACCTGCTGCTGCAGTTTTCTCATGATTCTGTCATCCAAGTCTGTCTAAAGAGCCTTCCTGTTTCCTTAAGAGTGCAGCAAATAGGACAGATATGTCAATAAAACATTTGAGCAGCATCAGAGGGATGCTGGCAGTGATACATCAGGTTTTCATTTATAAAGTGGCCAGCAGGCTGTCGAGACTCCTTGGAGAAGGTAGTAAAGAGGTAAACCGATGGAAAAAACTAATCACTGAGAGAAAAAAAGAGGGAAAGCAGAAGAAACACAAGAAGAGAGCCAGAGTGAGAAGAAGAGATTGTTTTTAGGAGAAAGACTAGACTGTGGTGCCTGGAACCCACTTTGGCTTCATTCTTAGCATAGCCTGGGTTTATGTCGAGGCCCCTGGCAGCCGTGAGGATCAAGCAAAGGCTGAAACAGACGAGGAACTTCAAAAGAGGAAAAACAGGGGCAGACTTTGAGTAATGGTTCTATGAAAGTACAACATCCACATTTGGAAAAATCGTTCACAAAGTACCATTTATGGCATGTTTGGAGCTGGATTTTTAGTCCTGGATATTCCCAGGTGGGCATGAGACAGTGGCAATTTCTCAATAAATATTAGAGAGGCTAAACCTCCCCTCTAAATTCTGTATATTATTGGTCAAATTTGTGTTGCCTCACTTCATAAATGTAGTAATTTAACTGTCTTTAACATGATTGCATGAGTATGTTGTGCATTAATCAGCTGTTTTTTCCTCTCTTGGAAGCAATCTCCCCTTCGCTCTGGAGCAGCAGGACACCACCTGTCAAAAATCCTTGTTGTTTCCCAGATTAAATAACAGACAAAATGCGTCACTTCCAGGGGGCAGGTCGTTAAGCTGGCTGATTGGCCAACATACTTAAGGATTTGTGACTGACAGTGGTCAGACAGCAAGGAGGTTTTTCTCACGAGTCCAGAGGGAAAGGTGATCATTGAGGCAGAACAGTCATCTTGAGCTGTTGTAGGGATGCATTTTATGTTTCAGCATTTCTTAATGCAATACGTTATGTTTAGCTTTGATTAACACCGTTGAGCCTCCCCTGTTTCATGAGACAGAATAGGCTGGACCTCCACCTCTCCAACACATGGGGCTCTGGGACTTTGTCATGATGGTGGGGCTCCTTGCTGTTTTCTACATCTATGTCATCCCCTCCTTTTATAAGCGCTGTACTGCAGGGGCAGGGCCCAACCATTTTTACTATCAAGGCTCGAAGTACATCACAGAAGTTGGTAAAGAAATCAAAATCGGTCCCAAAAGGAATTTAATGAAGTTATCCACAAACCGTTGATTCATGATACTCATCAACAATGTTGACTAAGGTTCACCCTCAGGTAAGGGGATAAATGTATTAAATTAGGTTAAGCTATTAAGTTAATAAACCTTACCTTTATGTTTCCTATAAAATTTAAGTGTTAACTTCTTTTTTTTTGCATCTGACAGAATTTTATTGACAAAAATATACACTAGTGATAGCCCGATTCATCCACCAGACAGTATATTTGGCCAATGATACAGCAATGAATTAAATAAATTGCCCATTTTGACCATTTATTTGTTAATTTATCCCCTAATGACAATGTTGAAATCATTTAAACAATAGAATAACAAGACTAAACTTAACATAATTGTACCTAAAAGGTCACAGTTTTAGCGATTTACAGTAGATAGTTAATTTTCTTGCAATATTTGATTTACTGCTCTTGACTTGTCTTTGTTCAAATGTTTAAAAGGTTGAAAAGAGGTTAGAGATTGATGGGACACAAAAAAAAATTATTTTTGGTGGCTCCGCAAAAATGAAAAAATGGGTTTTGGTGCATTAAAGTTGGTTACAGTTCTGAATTCTCCATAGTGGTGCCCAACTTTACACGAGTGAATAAAGTGAATGTGATTGGTCGATTATCAAAGGACGGGATTGTTGTGGCAGAAGGTTCGCAAGCAATTTAATTGTGGCAGGTTTGTCGGAAGCATCTTGCTAACCAGTTAGCAACTTAGTGCTAGTAGGTTCCCAATGGGTAATTACATTTTGACCAAGTAGCACTAAATTAGTGACTTAGCAACGACACTGTCAAGGAACACTATGGACAGTGGAAACATGCAAGAGGAGGAGTTTTGTGTCATGGATGAGTCTCCTCCGTCATACATCTTTTATTTAGAGGAGGAAAGCGGGGATGAAGATGTTGTGGAAGAGGACGCCATGGCCGCAGAAGCTTGGTTTGGTGTAGAAGGCTTACAGCCGTACAGACTGTTGATATATGGTTGGCCCGATTTAGGTGTACAAGCTGACATATAACTAACTGGCCTGCATAAAATAACGAAAAAAAACCCACAGATTTTAAGACAGGATTTTTTTTAAAAGAAATGTTCCTACTTTTGGAACACTATCGTCTGATAAAGAGTACATTTATATACATGTTTAAGCCAGAATGATTAGAATTTTAAATATCACTTCCCTATGACTTTAAGGACCCGTGCCTTTAGATCATTTGAAGGGAAATGCATTGCCTCTCCCTACATTTACTATCCATTGTTAACATTTGGTTTGATTTGTAAATAAATGTTTCTTATTTGTTTAAATTGAGAGGAAGAAAAATAAATATCCCATCTAAGAATCTGACATAGAAATAGCCGCGCTTATTGTGGGTCAGTTAGACTGATGGCAGAATGATCTCCTTTGGCCTTGAATAAAGAATATCGATCAATGTCTAATGTAGACCAGCATTCCAGTTTGAAATAAAAGAATTTGAGGGAAAAGATAAAGAACAAAAAAATTTTGCCAAATTACCCAATTAAAGTTGTGCACTTTTGGTATGGACAGTAAAAATAGCAGCGCTGTGCCCCTGCAGTAGGGTTCCTCTTAGCTGATCTCAGTTATGCTGCAGATGCGATGATTAGGCTGAACTACACAACAGGTTTGACGTCTATAATTTCAATTTAGCTTGTCTGGAACCAAGATGAGTCTCACTAACCGTAGTTTTGGGGGTCATTGTTCTGCTGAACCATTAATCTTACTGCTTTTACTTTTAAAGGTATCATTCGATTTCAAGCAAATCCCTTTTCTTTATAATGTGATGGATACTGCAGACCATATCCAACACCACGAGTCTGAGGCCCCTCCATACGCTATGATGCCTAAGCCTCCATGCTTTACATTATACCCTGCCTTAAATCTAATGTTTAAAGCAGGATATTTGATAGATAAAGAGAAGATATACAGTCAAAACACAGGAAGATAGAAAGGCAGGGATGAATACTGATACGAAGCTTTGGTAGCAGAAGGGGGATTTAGAGGAGATGAAAAAAGGTAGATACTTACGCAACTCTAGGGCACTGGCCCCAGGTGCAGCGCTGATAGTCTGGTTTGATGTACGTCTCCACTCCGTCCTCCATCACACAGCTTACTGTCCTCGTCACCACATAAGCACACCAGTTCCTGTGACATTGCACACAGAAACAGCGAAAAGTTTAGATCAGCTAAAAAAGAAATGAATAAGAATTAAAAAAGGAAAAAGCAGCTTTCCTCTCACATACTAAGCTCTATGCTTAGAATCCAACCTAAATCTTTTCTTTGGAACTTAGGAAAAAAGATAACAATCAAAAGTTCATTTACATTTTGATTGTGAGGCTCCACTATAAGTTTGAGATTACAATCTCTAATCCTAGAGTCAGCCGTTATTCTGCACTCTAGAAAATGGTGCAGATGTAAGATCAGTTCAGGATAACTGCTGTTTCAAACAAACGCTGCTATTATGTTTTTCTCCCAATGCTAACCAGCCACCACTGAATCCAAGATACAGGCTATACATATCATTGTTGTTTTTAGACCATGTATCCCTTTGAGAAGAAACAAAACACAGCTAACCTCAACACATGGTCTCCTTTAGGCAAGTATCTCTAAGAGTGCATGACATAAAAATGGTTAGTTTGATGAAGTTGTCCCTTTAAGCACAGATGGAACTGAGGGAACAGAAGGACAAAGTACATAAAAAGAAAAAAACTTGTGGGATTTTATTCTGAAGCATTTTTCTTTCTCCTCCAAGTGTTGGAGTCAGGATGATTTTAAAAATGTGTGGGGGGTTTCATTGTACTAATGTCTAAAGAACATAGGATGAGCTGTTGTTCTCACATGTTAGCAGCCAATTCTTTAAGGTTTTGTAGGCTATGAGTTTTGCTTTCCACTTTATTTTAATCTTAATCCACATTCAGTTAGATTGAGATCTTGAAAAGTTGAAGGGCCAAGCCAAATCCTGTTTTGTTCCTGAGCATCTTCAATTATTCCTAAACCATTCAACTTTTTATCAGAGTGAATGGTTGTGGTTAAAGATCCCATAGCATTAATGAAAGCAGGGCACACAGTATGCAATCATGCTTAACTAACTGATAGAGGTGTACCAAAAATAACAATCTGCTTAAGAATCTCGATTCCCATTTACCACAGTTCAGAATCTATGAAGAATGTCCCAAAACCAAATTTAAAAGGCAAAACCAACATAGGACAAACACATTCCCAGAAAGCAGCAAAATAAGGAGGAAACTCCAAAAACAAAGGAAAGATAACTTCAACCCAGTCCATACAGTTCCCAATGTTCAAGCTTCCCAACACATGGAAAGAGATTTATGAAGGTTTAATTATTAGAAAATTTGGATTTATTTTCTACCAATGCACTCTTTGGCCTTCCATGGCTCAGAATGTTCATCATTTTTTTTGTTATTTGGTGTATTCATAACAGATAAACTAGCTCACTGTTTAACACCACAAGCAGCACACATTTAGTGTCATATTTGGAGAACTCCACGGTGGCTCTACTATTCTTGGAATATTTGGGAAAGACATGTTTTTTATTTTGCTCCCTCACTGAAAGAGTTGCTTGGTAGTTCAGTGATAATCTACCGTGAGCAGCCGCCAGTAGCCGTACCTAAAGCGTTCTCCCTGGGGCAGAGAGAGAACCTTCACAGGTGTTGGAGCCAGACTTGGACGGATTGCTAATAAGAACCTGCCGATGACGCCCCCAGCGCTTCCACTTCCAGCTCCACATACTAGCCGATATCATGTTGAGGTAAGTGAAATTTTAAATATATCCAGGAAAACAACAGGCTAATGTGGATCTTAAATCACAGATTGCTGTTGTCCCCGATGATGTCCCATTAGCTCCTGCAGAACCACAATCAGAGGCTGACTCAGTGGTAATAATATGGCTCTGCATTCTGTTTTAGGTAGATCATTTCTTGTAACAGCAGTGGAGGATCTATTTGAAAATGATGTTGATTTAAAGTATTATATACTTATCTATATTTATAAACTAATAACCAGTTATCCTATCTATGCCAGAGGGGTTTCAATGTGTGTTTCCCCACCATCTGTTTTCTACCAGGGCTGCTGCAGTCATATTAGCCATCACCCTCCAGCTCAGAGTCTGACTTTATAGGCTAGAGGTCCACTCTGGATGGTTTGATTGTTCATTGTTTCTCAGCATCTCTATCTGAACTTGAACTGGATAATGGTTCAACAACACAAACCAATTCCAGATTAGATGGAAAACCATGAACGTTCCTATCCGTCTCCATTACAGAAAGTTGATCCAGCTCTGACATCTCCACACAGGGATGGGTTTTTACTAGCTATTAATCACAGTGCTGCTGTGGCGCTACTAAATGTAGGATATTTGAGTTAAAAATAAGGCTGTAATAATAAATCAGAACCACTGGGTATGCATGATTTTAATGCATATATGCAAACATGCAAAAATAACATGAGCTCAATATCGCACCATAAACACTTAAAAACAGTTTAATGGTTTCATATTGTCACTGTTAAACACAAGTATAATACGGTTATCATCTACAAGCTTTGATGTTTGGTCTAGTTTGACTCTATCTTTAAACAATAACTCGCATGAAGTAAATACAGTGAAACCGAGTGTTAATATAAAAATATCCCCTTAAATACGCTGCAGCCCAAAGTAAAGGTGACACTCTTACATCACTCCCACATTCTCCAGCTCTCTGCAGCGTACTCCCTGTCTCCTCACCCCCCTTTGCTCTGACCCTTAGAGATGTCGCTCTCATCTCTCTGCAGAAACATCTAAAACATAAATTCTGTTGAATTATTATCTATCATCATTTTAATAATACCCAGAATCCCTACATAGCTGTTTATCTGTTGGTATTTTTGATCAATTAGTGTCAGTCTGAGGAGCACTGAGGACCTTTTGGATAAAAGCCAAAGCATAAAAGAACTTCATTCATCAGTAGCTTTTATCAAGCGTCATCCAGACTGTCTCCATTTTTCATTCTTTCACTTTATACACTCTTTGGAAAGAGGAATGAAAAGGTTCATGCATTTATACTCCTTTACTCTTTTTACCTAAAACAACAAAAATTCCTTCAAAAGTCCACTACTGAATATTTTTCTAAGGTCTCAGTGGTTTGTCAGAGAACATTAGAGGACAGCCAGTATCATGAAGACCAACTAACACAGCCGACAGGTCAGAGAAGAAAATGAATGAGGTTATAAAACACTATATTCCAAGCCTTTAACCCCCTTCACAGCATTTTTCTATCTAAAAACTGAAAACAAAACATTATGGCCTACCTAGAAATAATTATCTTAATCGAAAAGCAAGAAGAAGACCTACAATAATAAAAACAAGTAGCAGTGAAGCCAATGGTAACGCATGGTAAGCTGCAAAGATGCACTCCAACATCCAATCTGGCTGATCTTGAGCCATTTGACCATTAGTTTTTTTTTTACTTTTTAGGAATGACAATAACCTGGATGAATGACAACCAGTAAAAATATAAAAAAGGCTTAAGAAAATATATGTCTAAGAAAATAATCATTTTAAAATAATAATGTCTAATAAATAAATGAAATTTGTTATTAAATATATAAATATTTATTTTTATTTGGAAGGTTTTACCCAAGCATGTATTTTTGAAGGTTCAGGGTGTCCAATAGGAACAGCTCGACCATCCAATCCCATGTAAATCAAAATAAGTGTAATTTGTCTTATCTATGGGGGTCTACAGCCATTCATATGGTAGGTATGTGATTTACAGAAACGTACTAGAAAACTTGTAACTATAATTACAGTAAAAGGAAGTGCAAAGGATTATGTGGTTCTAACATGACAAAATGTGAAAAATCCCAAGATGTGTAAACTTTTACCTGAGCATTATGTGTGTTTTCATTTTTGGAGCACTCATTTTTTCCTGACACCCGTTTCCTTTCATGCCTGTTGCAGTTTACGATGTGCCCCCCATGCACCCCGATCCCACAGCCCTCCTCCTCATACCAGAGCTTGTCTCACTGACACAGAAGGTTATCTAGTTTGATCCTCCCAGAGCCTCATGGCCCACTCCACACGACCTCTATGTAATGAACCTGGGAAAGTGAACATGACTAATTAACTGTCAGCCAATATTTAACCAAGCAGGTAGGTGAATGAAACATTAGAGAATACTATTAAATAAATATTATTAAATGAATAGCAATATGGGAGCATGTTAAAAAAGGACTGCATGATGGTGTAAAAAAGGTTAGCAAAGATAGGGAGGAACATCTTATGAGTAGCAGGAATGAAGCAACACAATGATTATGAGTTATTAGTAAGATAAGATTTTACGTCTCCAGATTATTTCAACTTAGGCCTAATCATATATACTTTTAGGCAACCAGACAGATCTACAAAAATGTATATTTTACAAAAAATTTACTAAAAATGCTGACATTATTTTTTTTTTTTACGGATATTGGAAATTATGAATCTGAAACATAAAATCTTTTCGTCATGACCCAGAAGACAACCCAGGAGGTAATAATAGGGCTGAGAAAAAGAAGCATTTCTTTAACATGGACAGAATAAAAAAAAATAAATATAACACTTAAAAGCTCAGTTTCAAATAAAATGGCAGAGTAGGTTTGTAAAGAATTTGTAGATTTATATTAAAGGTTAAAATACTGTAAAACATTTCTACATTAAATAAGGAACATGGTTATCATTAATCACACTATGGAAACATCAGTTTTACTTCAGACCAAATGCAAAACAAAGAATGCTGACTGTTCAGTTCAGGTCCAGAACCAGGCTGCGTGATGCTATGTCACTGAAAAAGCGTTCTTGGTAAAACGCATTTCCACTTTTCTGACGGCAGAGAAATATTTCAGAGCCACATGTGCTTTTCTTTATGACCACATGCTCTCCAAAGATGCATTTCTCCCTGCTTGGTACCACAATCTTACTGTCATGATATCCTATCTTTAAATAAATGCATGAATAATAAATAAATAAACTATATATATATATATATATATATATATATATATATATATATATATATATATATATATATATATATATATATATATATATATAGAGAGAGAGAGAGAGAGAGAGAGAGAGAGAGGGAGAGAGAGATAGATAGATATATATG